GCCCCCCATGCTCCTGGTGGCCACACAGCCCAGCCCACCTTCCCTGGCTGCCCAGCTGGGTCCCCTCTCTGCTCCCTCACCTCCCCCAGGTGCCACTTTTGGTACCTCCCTGCTGCCTCTGGGGACCATAAAGCGGGTTTCTCTCAGCCTTGCTGGGTTCAGGGGCACCAGGAGCCCTGCCAGGGTGCCCAGCCCTGCTCTCCCTGGCTCTGGGGATGGCCAGGGAGGTGAGGACGTGAGCAGCCAGGGGCTGGGCTGGGGCATATTCCTGAAATCACAGGCTGGAGGCTGTCTAAGAAACAGGAGGGGAAATAACTGGCCCTGGCAGCAGCTGAAACCCCTCAGTCTCTGTCCTTACCCTTAGGAAAACTGGGAATATCAGAGGAAGAACTTCTCTGGGGTAGGAGCTGAGGATCTTCCAGCACACTAACCTCTGTGTCAAATCTAGGCTTGACTTCACAGAGCTGAGCTCCAAACCTGAGCTGTGATTATTTCTGTGCTGCCCTTCCCTGTTTGTGGTACCAGTTACACTGTGGATTTGTCTAAATTTGAGTATTTTCACCCCCTGCCTGATGCTCAGTGAGGTGGAGGCTGAGAAAAGGCAACTTCTGCAACCTCAGTCCTTGCTGCAAAAGCATCTGCTGCTGCTGTCCCCTCACCCTTCAGCTCCCTCTCTTGCTTCCCAGGCTGTTACCTCCCTATCCCTGCTCTGCTTCAATGCAGCAGCAGCAGAAGGGGGAAAAAAACCCAAAACCAACAAGGCAAATTCAGTTCTCGCTTCCTATTTTCCTCCTCCTCTATTTTTCAGACTTGGCCCGTTGGTGAAAACCACCCCTTTAATGCCTGGCTGCCAAATAGAGCAATTCTCTCAACAGAGAAATGTACATCAAAGTTGCAAGGAATATTCAATTAACCTTTAAAGGAGATCATCCCTAACTGGCTTAGAGAAACATCACTAAATTGTTTAAAAAAGCTAAACACAGGCACTCGGGTTTCGGAGGAGCAGGTCTGTGGAGACAGTCCTGGCTGAAAAAAAAAAAGGGCAATTAAATATCTAAATGCTCTTTCCAACTGGCATCCTGAGCTAGAACCTCTGACAGGGTTATCTTTGCTTAGGCAAGTGGCCAAATCCACGGCTCTGCCTCTAGGAAACGTGGAATAACTGAGAGAACAGCGATGGCAACAGCTCCTGGGATCGCTGGAGGGACGTTTGGGAGGCTTTTGCTTTTCCAGGGAGAGGGCAGAAAGCTCCTCTGCAGCTCTCAGAGCTGAGCCCTGCCAGTGCCCAGTGGGGAGGGATGCTCCATCCTCCACAAGTCAGAGGCTCAGGGGATGAGGCTCTTCTGTAAATCATTAAAAATCCTCTTATCTGGGAGCGTGCACAGGCATTGCTACCCTCTGCTGGAGGGAGCCAGCTTCCTCACAGGCCTTGCGCTGCCACGGGGAGATAAAGGGAGATCTTTGAGCCCAGGGAGAAAACTCCTGGCTGCGAGGAAGAGGAAGGACAGGCTGGGAATGCTGCTGAGAGGAGCCAGCGAGGGGCTGGTGTTTGCTCTGCAGGAGCCCCAGCACAGCTTGTGCGGCCCCTGCCCCTGGATTTGCCTCCCCAAACCCAGGCAGTGGCCACGTCTGAGCACACTCAGCACTTCCCACGAAGGATTTGGGAACTGTTCACCCAGCTGAGCCTTCCTGCTCCTGGTGGGGCTCCTCTCCAAACAACTCCCGTGCAGGAGAGTCTCTGCGAGCCAGATCTTTGTGCATTCCCGGCTATTTTTAACTAATCCCCGATGGAAACCGTCCCCTGAGGTCCTGCCTTGCACCTTCACTGCTGCCCTCCCTGCCCTTGTCCCTCCTCTCTGCATCCTGCCCCTTCCACCTTCACATCTCCTGGGAAAAAAACCACAGCAGCAAACCCAGGGGCAGCTGGCAAACATGGAACACCAAGGAAACGAGGCAGGGGGGTGGATTTTAAGACCTCCCAAGAGAAAGAAATACTTAAAAGCACGCAAGTCAGGGCTTAGAGGGGAAAAAAGCCTCCAAGTTTCCTGTCAGGGTGAAGTGCTGGAGGATTAAAGTCCCACAGCTCAGGATGCAGGGTAAGGATGGCACTCATGGCTGCATTATGGAGCCGTGCTGGGCCATGGTCCTGCCTCTGCCAGCCTGGGCTGCTTTAGGAGCAGTTCTAGCACCAGTTTTAGCACCAGTTTTAGCAGCAGTTTCCCGGAATAGCCGCGGTGCTACTATGTTTTCACACCTGTCCACGCAGCACCTTGTACCACAGGCACTGAGCTCCGTCCGTGGGTGACTGAGTGTCCCCGGGAGGGACCCTGGAGCTCAGCTCTCGCTGCCAGAGCTGGTTTTCAGTGGTCTCAAGGAAGAGCAGGTCGGCGATCCGGGGTTTTGCTGCCTGTTGCGCCCAGAGTGGCCTCTCTGCCCACCCCCTGCGTGCTGCACATGCCTCACCTGAGCCTGCGCTGAGCATGACTGGACCTGCCCACCGCAAAACAGAGGCTCCCAGAGAGGGGGAAAACAGTGATTTAGGGCTGAGGACACACCGGCAGAGCGAGGGAGGCGCGGGATAGGGGAGCAGCAGCTCGCTGGGGCAGCATCCCCATCCCTGCTCCGCGCCCAGCACAGACATCCCCCCCTCCTTCTGCCTAAACCCTGGAGAGGGGAGTGTCTTCCCTGCACACCCTGGGCACGGGAATCCTGCCCTGGAAATCCCTGTGCCCGCCTCGGTGGCTCGCAGAGGAGCTTGGCTTTCCCGGAGCTCTCGTTTTTTCCTTGCCCGAGTCTCGCATCCCTTCGCCTCCCACCCGCTGCCAGCGCCGCCTGCCAGGGAAGAGTGACTAAGGGGCGGGTGGGAGGGAGCGGCTCGAGCCCGATTTAGCAGCCTTGCGGTGCCGAGGGCAGCGGGAGGGCCACGGACACGGCCGGGGGGGCTCCGAGGGAGCCCGGAGCATCCCCGGAGCCGGCGCTCGCATCCCCGAGGGCGCTTCGGCAGCTGCCACGAATTTGCCCCCCCAGGGCTGATCGCGCCGAGGGTTTTGCGCTTCCAGCCCTTTGTCCCGCCGATTAATGGCCCCGGTGATTAATTGCGAGGGCAGGGGCTCTGCAGCCCCCCGGAGAAGCCTGGCAGGGGGTGTAGGGGTGAGCTGGGCACACGAAGGGGGTGCTGTGTGATGGTGTGTGACAGGGCACAGCCAGGCTGGCGTGGGAGGCTGGGACCAGGCGAGGAGCGGCCGGACGGGCTCTGCCCTGGCAGGGATTTCAAAGGGAGGTTAATCAGTGTCTGGAGCGATGGGAGATAATGGAGGCTCACGAGGAGTTTCTTCCCCCGGCTCATATTCCACTTGCCGCAGCCTCCAGTGAGGAAAACAGGCTCTGGGGAGGGAATTTGGACAGCCATGGAAACGCAGGCCTGCCCGGGAAAATGGGTCAGGGGCTGGTCCCTCCGAGCACAGCGAGGCACGCGTGGAAGGAGGTCACAGGCCCCACTTGTGAACCAGAGAGAGAGAAACCCCCTCAGCGCTGCTCTGCCGGGGCAGGAGGTGCCCAGGGAGGGCTTGGCACTGCTGGAAGGAGCTGACACGGGGGCCAGGGGGGTGGTGGCAGGACGGGACAGGGGAAGGTAAATGCAAACTGCCCGGGGGGAAAGGGATGTGCAGCAGGGACGGGGTGGTACCAGGCAGGGGGTGTGTGGGCATACCTGGATGGGAGCTGTCCCACTTGTTTGGGACCCTCCTGCCACACCCCTGGGGACCTGTGCTGTGGCCACAGCCCCCTGAAGCACGAGAAAAAGCGTGGTGGTCTCTGCAGAGCCCAGACAGGTGTCTGGCCTGTTTGGACAGACAGACAGCAGGGCGGACACTCCTCAGCCGGCTGAGCAAGGGCAGGAGCGCCGTGAGCCGAGCCCGGGACCCGTCCCCGCGCTTGGTCCCCGCTGGATTCTCTGGGGTGTGCAGCTCTGGCGCTGAAGGCAGACTGTCAGCGGGGTGAGCAGTGACAGCCCGGAGCTGCCTCCTGCCACAGCCGTGGCAGCTCTCCAGCGCTGCTTTTAAGGGCGAGATTAATCCCCGGCTTTCCCGGAGCCGCGCGGGCACCCCCGGGAGCTGTGCGGGCTCTGCGCGGCACCGACCCCCGCCCACGCCTTCACCTGCCTGCGAAACCAGGGCGCAGCCCCTGCACGGCGAGGGGACATCGCCAGAGCCAGCGCTGCGCACCCCAGAGAAGGCTGAGCCCCCTCCAGCCATCCCTGTCTGTGCCTGGATGATGCCGCATCCAGGCGCAACTGGCATTTCCCACGGAGGTGCCCGATGATGCCCACGCCGGGCACATCCCCTGCGCTGCCTTATCCCCTCCCTTCGCCCCGCGCTGCCCGCACGCCCGCGGGCTCCCGCGGCAAATAATCCCTGCACGGGCACGCAGCCCCTCCGCCGGGATGGCTCCGTGCTGATGACAGCAAACCAAAGGCATCCGCTCCTTTCCTTTCCCTTCCCGGGGAGTTTGGGGACGCTGTAACCCGAGGCAGCCCTCACCACCGAGGTGCTGAACACGCAGAATTTTCTCGCTGCCGTGCGAAAAAGAAGTTTTCCAGACTTCAGAGGGAAAGCGAAAAGCCAGAGCCGAGCCCCGGGGGAGCCGCGGGCGGCTCCGGCCGGGCAGGGGGGGGATGCGAGAGCCGGTGATGGGGGCGAGTCCAGCCGCCCCCCCGACCCTTCGTGCCCGAGCCCCGCGCCCCGTCCCCGGCAGAGGGGCGGTGCGGGACACCCGGGGTGGGGGGTTCACCCCGATGGCGGTGCGAGGAGTCCCCCCCCGCTCAGTTCAGCCCCTCCCGGTCCCCCCCGGTCCTCCCGGACCCCCATCCCTCTTCCCGGAGCTCCCCCGCACGTCCCGCAGCGCTTCGCCGCCGCCTCCTCCCCCGACTTTGTCCCCCTGCCCGGAGCTCCCGGGCACGGCCCCCCCTCCCCCGGTGTCCCCCGCGTGTCCCCCGTGCCCACCTCGGGTGGCCGCCGTGTCCCGGGCGCGGCGCGGGGCTGCGCGGGGCTCCCGGTGCCGGCCCGGCCGCAGCATCCCCGGCTCGGCGGCGGCGGAGGAGGAGCCTGGGATGGAGCCCCGAGCCCCGGGACCGCCCCGGCGCAGCCCCCGCCTTTGTGTGCCGGCCCCCGGCCGCCCCCAGCCCCGCCTCTGCCCCGCTCGGTCCCGCGGGGTGGAAAGGGGGGGGTTTGGCCGCTCGCTCTGCGGGCAAACGCTGAGGGAGAGAGGGGAGAGGTGATGGAGAAGGGGGAATACGGGTGGATTTGGGACTATCCCGGCACTGGGATTGAGTCTGGCGCTTTGGGAAGCTCTTGGGGAATAGAGCCGAGAGCCCAGGGGGAAGCAGCCGGCACCGGGAGCCCGCCCGGCCGGGAAAGGTCCGGGCTGAAGTTCCTGTTTTGCCTGATTCGGAGCGAGGACTTGAAACCGAGCCTCCAATATGCCCAGTTGGGGATGAGCAGCGGGGTGTGACCGGCGCATGCCACAACTAGTCCTCACGGCAAAAATAAGGACACGTTCCCAAGGCCTCTGACCACGGGGAAGGGAGTCGGTGGGGTTGGGAATTGCTGTGGGAATTGCAGACCGGGGGGGGGGGCGGATCGGCCTCCTGAGCCCTCCAGGCCTCACTGAGTGCCGATCAGTGCGAGGGATGCTCGAGGGAAACCCCTGGACATCCCTACTGAATCCCCTCCCTGCAGGGCACGGGCTGGTCCCTCTTCTTGTAGCCCAAGCACTTTGTGCCTGTCCACAGGTAAGGCCCATCCTGCTCGTGCACGAGTGATTTTTCCAGCATCAGGAGGAACCCGAGCAGGTTTCCCCACACGCCGCGACTTTCCCAAGCACGGAGCAGCGCCCGGTGCATCCCTCGGTGCTCCCCGGAACCAGGCTGGCGGTGCGGCCGCGTTCCCACATCCCTTCCCTCCCCGCACATCTGCCCCTGGGGGAGGTCTGTTCGCCTCCCTCCGCCTCACCTGGTCGCTAATCTCTCCCTGCAGGAGGCGGGTTGTGCCGAGCTCGCCCCGGGCGCTGACGCAGCGCTCAGGAATCCGTGGGCAGCTGGAAGCACATCTGGACTTGCCCCGCTGCGTCCCGCTCAGGTGTGCGGGGCTGTGTCCCGCTCAGGTATGCGGCCAGGGGGGATCCCCCCGCTCAGGTTTGCGGCCAGGGGGGATCCCCCCCGCTCCGGCAGCAGCTCCCCTGAGCCCCGAGCCTGCTCCTGCCAGGAAGGAGCGGGGCCGGGAAGGATGGGAGCCCCAGCAGGAGCTGGCACAGCGCAGCCCGTGTCTGGCAGGAGCGTGGCAGCCGCTCCCTCCCCAAAATCATCCTGGGAGCACACGCAAACCCCCTGCGGCAACGCGGGGGTCCAGCAGGACCCCCAGGAACGGGAGGACCGTCACTAAACCAGTCTCTGATGTTCAGCTGATGGGCCCCCACGGGGTCAGGGTGGTGGTCGCCAGCCTTTGGGGCACGGCTCGAGGGGAGCAGCCTGGGATTTGCTTTGGGAGCCCGGCTGGCCCCCCCAAGGACGGGCAGGAGGCACAACCCGAATGCCAGCCCTCGGCTCCCGGTGCCGGGGCGTTTGACACGGAGCAGGGACGGCTCTGCCGGGGTGGAGCCCCGGGAGCAGCGAGGCTTGAGCTCGGCACGAACCGCGAGGGCTTTGATTTATGGAGCTGGCGCTCGGCAGACGGGATCCACCCCCCCTGCTTTTTTTAATATTGTTTCCTGGCAGCTTCGTTGGTTTCTCTTGCTGATTTGAGCAGCGCTCCCACAATCCCGCGGGTGCCTCGTTGCCTTGAAAGCAAGTCAGCTGGAATTTGCTATTTTGGGAGCTGAAAAATTGAAGGGAAGGAGAGGAAGGAGAGAGGGAGAGAGAAAGGGAGAAGGAGAAAGAGGAGAGGGAGGAGATGGGGAGGGAGGAGGAGGAGGAGAGAGAGAGGGAAAGAGAAAGAGAGAGGGAGAAGGAGAAGGAGAAAGAAAGAGAGAGGGAGAGGGAGAAGGAGGAGGAGGAGAAGGAGAAAGCACATTCACGTGAGCACGGAGGAATGGTTGAGCAGGATTCCACTCAAGGGGAAAAGGCACAAAAAAACCCCACAGAAATTATGATTCATTTTGGGCCTCGCAGGAGCCTCGTGTTTCTATGGCTGAGTTGTAACAAAACAAGGCGGCCAAGCCAAGGAGTTTTATTTGTACCAGATGGGCCAGAGGTTGGATCTGCAGCTTTTCAGGAATCCTCTTGACTTTGGGGCAGAGTTTGCAGCCGGGAGCTCAGGAGTTCAACCATCACAGGGGGGCACAGGGTGGCGAGGGGGGCACAGGGTGGCAGGGGGGGCCCTGCTGTGTCCCTTGGCTGTCCCTGCCAGGCTGAAGGGGGGGATATTCCCACCCCCCTGTCCTCGTGCCCGGGTTGAAACTCGTCCTCCCCGGCTCCTCCATCCCGGTGTTCGTGTCACAACTCGCCCCGTCTGCAAACGAGTCTGGCGAGGGGGTGTTGCCTCACCCTCCCCAGTCACCTGGAAGCTTTCCCAGGGCAAGGGAGCCCCGGAGAGGAACAGCAAAGAACCCTGGTGGAGATCTGGTTGTTGTGTGTATCCTGGGGTGCTCAGGCAGATCCTCACCTGAATCCTGGTGGTGCTTCCAGCTTGAATCCCCCCAGAGCTGGGGGCTGGGCTGCCCCTGCAAACACTGCCCTGTCTCCCACCTTCACCAGCAGGGATTCAAAATCCCTCCAGCAAAATCCAACTGAAAAAAACCACCCCAATTTACAACAATCCACTTTTTTTTTGCACTTTGGCTGCAAACAGGGGCTGAAGCACCAGTGACTCGTTTCCCCCGGAGGAGGTTTGGGCAGAGGAACCTTCACCCACCTCACTCACCACGTCTGGCACCTCGGGCTGCTGCTGGGCACGGGCACAGGTAGTGGGGCAGTGACTCAGTCCCTCATCCCTTCCACTTCAGTCTTCCTTAATCACTGAGCATAGTCATTCTGGACACAGCCCTAAGTGGATTTGCATGGATAGATTGAAAAAAAAAAGCCCCTTCTCCCTTATATTTTAGGATAAAGAATAAGCAGAAATGACAAAAACGGGATTTTTTTTTCTTTTTTTTACTACTACCAGATTATTTACAAATCCATTGAAATTGGATAGAAGTTAGTTCACACTAATTTACTGCTCTGGGAGGGGAATTACAAGATAATAAGATCAGTGATAAAAGCAAGAAGTAGGTGTATTTAATGACTTTTTCCCCTACAGAGCCATGAAGAGATATTGGAAGAGCGAGGCAAGGCTGGGAGGAGGAAATGAAGCCACGAAGGGGGTTGCCTGGGGATCTGGAGCTGGAATACAGAGGAGCAGGAGGAGTGTTTGGTGTTGGACCCTTTCTGCTGGGCAGGTGGATTCCAAAGGAATCCAGGACGGGAACCTGCCCGGGCACAGCCGTGTTGGAGCCGCAGGGCCTCGTGTGCTCCCCGGGGGGATTGCAGGGTTCAGAGCAGCCACAAGCACTGGCAGGGCCCTGGAACAGCCTGCCCCGTCCCTGGGAGTGTCCAAGGCCAGGCTGGACAGGGCTTGGAGCAACCTGGGCTAGTGGAAGGTGTCCCTGCCCACGGGGTGCGACTGGATGGGCTCTGAGGTCCCTTCTGACCCAAAGCATTCCATGATTCCCTGAGCTGGGAGACAGCGAGAGAGGAGCTCCTGTGTGTGTGTGGCCCAGGAGGATCCTGGCTGGTGCTGCTGGGGGCTGTTTGTGTGTCATATGGGCTTTGATGCATATTAATGACCCGGCTCAGCCCCGCTGGGGCCAAGCCACCAGCTGATATCCCTGAGATTGTCCCCATTGTGCTGCACAAAGCCAGTCCCAGCCAGGGCTGGGGCTTAATTCTTGTTTTGGTCGAGGCCGAGGGGAGAATCCACTCAGATAATCCTCTCCAACTGTGTCCTCCTCCCTGACAGGGTTTAAGGGCCAGGAGAAGGGATGTGGCCTCGACACGACCCTTGCCAGCTCCTCTGTGCTCCCTGCACACTGTGTAGGGTAAAATCCAAAATACAACAGCCAGAGAATGGTTTGGGTCAGAAGGGACCTTAAAGATCATCTCATTCCACCTTCCACTCTCCCAGGTTGCTCAGAACCCTGTCCAACCCAGCCTTGGACACTTCCCAGGGATGGGGAAGCCACAGCTTGAAAAGTAAACTCCATGTGGCATTACCAGCTCAGCAGCAGAGTGTCACTTGGCGAGTTCAAGGCCAGACTTTGCTCCCAGCTCCCTTTCCTGGGGCCTTGAGAAGCAACCAGCGGGTTTGGTTTCGATCCCAGCCAGTTTGGCAGCAAAAAAAAAACCCCAAAAAACTCAAAAAGGTCATGAGAAAATCATATCCCAGCCCAGCTTATAAAGGCAGATTGATATTTCCTCTTCCACTTGTGGGATTTGTGTGTTCCTTTCCCATTAAAACTGATGATAAGAGCACGTCTCAGCTCCTCATGAGCTCTTGGGCCTCTTCCTTTGATTGATGCCAAAACAGGGACAACCCCAAACCACGTCCCCAGAGCCCCAGGTTTGGTCCAGAGTTAACCAAAGCATCTTCCTGAGCCCGTGGAGCTGGAGCAGGGATGAGTTTCCTGTGGTTCTGGTGTTGATCAGTGGGCTGGACACCCCATCATCCCACAGAGCCTTCCTTGCCCAGTCCAGGTCTCACACAGCCAGGAATTCTTCTGAAGCCCCATCCCGGTGTCATTTCATTCCCTGAATGCTGAGAGCAAACACAGTTTCTGGTCCTCGAGGCTGGGAAGAGAAGCTGGAAAATGTGGCTCCTGGGGGCATTCCAGACAAAAGGCAACACGCCCACAGACCCTCAATATTTTATCTTCTGTGCTCCAAACCCTGCTCCTGCTTCCTGGAGGGAGCTGATGGGTAGCACCTCGGCGGCTGGAGGTGGGAGGGTGAGCTGGGATCCCATCCTGGGGTCAGGAGCAGGAATCTCAGCCCAGCTGGAACATCCCGACCCCTGCGCCGTCCGAATCCAGGAGCTCGGGAG